ACTTTCAAACACAGTCGTTTTTTTCAAACAAGTGCCACCATCTATATGTCAGGTTGAGTATTTCTGGGACGACCCTCGTATGTGTAAGCTTATTCAGAGTACAAGTTATACAAGTTAATAATCACATATAATCTTTAATGAAGTATTATTACATAGAATTGATCAGAAAAAATATATTAACTATGTTATATTTTGTATTTTTATCTTGACAAAATTTATAAATAAAAGACAAAATATATATAAAAAGTATTACTTTTGAATCAAAAACATACTGATTTTAAAGTGTTAACGTCTATAATCATTTTTATTACTGTAATGAAGTTATAGTAGACATTTAACATTTTTGATATTTTTATTATATTTTAGCAAACAAAACCATGAGAGATGAATTCTCAGATTTTTCTAAAAAATATTGTTATTAGTGTAAATCCAGGAACTTTTCATTACCTCATCTTTTTAAGGACTGTGCTACATTAGAATAATATTGTAAAAAATATCAAATTATTGTAATAATTAATACAAACCAAGACCTAAATTACAGAGCTAGGCTAGGTAACCTAGCAATAAACAATATGTATAAAATAAATAACTTTTATTGAAAATTACTGCTAATTAAACATTTTATTAATTAATCTTACTATGTAAGCGTAATATGTATATAAAAATTTATTTATATGTTTATATAATTATATTGTCAGAAAGTTGTATAATTTTACTGTTGTGATTATAGAATTGTTTAGTTGAAGCAAACCAGTGAGTAAATGTACTGACTTCCTCACAACAGGCTCCAAGCTTATTACAGACTTTAGTTTACAATTGGATAAATACCTACAAGATACTGTTGGACAGAATTAAAACAACAATGGAAATTTAATTCAACAAAACATTCAGGATTTTTCAGGTGAGCCAACTATATTTGATACTTCACTACATAACCTGGATAACCTACTAAACACTTCTTCTACAGTCTTATGGAATAAAATATTCAATCTTATAAAAACATCAAATGACAAACTTTTTAGTCAAATTACTTGTATTGAGGATGAATTGGATTTAATTCGTGAAAATTTATGGGAAAGTAAAGAGCAACAAACAAAAATGGAAGAGCAAATGACTAATTTACGCCATCAGATTGACACCTTGCAGATTGAGAAAGATCTTACGCAATTTAAAATAGACTCTATTTAATGATCATAATCGTAATAGCATTATATTATATAATTATCCTAATTCGAGAGTTATCTCAAAGGCAGAAATCTATAATTTTATTAGTGCTTTGTTAAATATTAAAAATATAGTTCAAGATGATATTTTGGAAGTAATTCAATTAACGAAAATACCAAAATTGACAATAAGAATAACCTTTAATAATAATCAACTTCAAAATCAAGTTTTTTTTTACATATATTAAAGAAAACAGCAGAATCAACTTGAAGATTGAGGAAACATTCAAATGTCATCAGATCTTACCAAAAATTCAAGGATCATATGGAAAAATTTACTTTCAATGTTATATGATATAAAAAAACAAAATCCACGAGCTAAATTACACAATGACATTATAATAACAGGAAACGGAAAAATTACATAGGCCTACATCATCAACATGAAAAGATTAGTTTACACAGATACTTTTTTACTTTTCCCCAATTCAACATATTTGATAAGCTGATACATTAAGAACCTGGGTCAAACACAGCATCCTTTAAACCTCAAGAATAACTACTTATTTTTGATCATAAATTGGAATTGTCAGGGACTTAAATACAAAACTTCATTTGTTAATTCCCTGCATGTCAAATATAAACTGAATATTTTTGTTATTACGGAAACTTGGATTACATCAGAAAACTTTTATACAACTAATTTCTCCAATAAGTTCATAATGGAATTAGTCCTTGCAAATAAACCAGTAGGACCAGGTTTCCCAAGTGGTGGATTATGCATACTCCTAGAAAAAGACTATTTTAAAATAATTCAAGTTAAAAAAGCCACTAATTATATACGTCTCCTTATCTCAACCAGTAAAAATACGTTAGTAAATAAAAACAATGATCTACTGATGCTAATGCTGATTTATGTGCCTCCTGGAGATATGAATACTCTTAATGAAATCTTCAAAATTATTGATTAATGGTGTTATATAATCCTTTATATTATAGTACTAGGTGACTTTAATTCTATAATTGGTGAATTGATGGATTCCAAAAATGAAGGCTCCAATCATTTAATTTTTAATAACTGAAAATTCAAGGATGAACAGATTAACAAAATTAATAATATGGGGAAAAAACTAATAGATTTAATTATAAAATATAAATTATTTATACTGAATGGACGTATTAACTCTGGTTTTCTGGCAGAATATACCTGTTTAACTCACTCTGGTAAATCTACAATAGATTTACAGTATGTTCTGATCTGCTCTTAGACTGTTGTGTGGATTATATGACAGCTTAATTGGATGCTTCTGATTATTTTCCTATATTAACTAAATTTCTATCTCCATTAAGAAAAACCAACAACAAACTTAAAAACACCAAAAATAATGTAGAAAAATTTAAAAAATCAGGTGTCATTTATAAAATCAGTTGTAATTGTGAAAGCCCAAAAAATTATATAGGTGAAACAGGTAGACAATTAGAAGTAAGAATTAAAGAACATGAAGCTGCTGTAAAATTAAAATACAATAATTCCTCTTGGCTTAATCACACAAATAACAGTGATTGTAAGATTGACAAAAGCAACATAAAAATACTTTATTATAAAAAAAATATATATAAACAAAAATTCAAAGAGCATATTGAAATAATAAAATATAGTAATGACACTGTTCCTCATAAAAAACTTTTTTTCTATTTCTGAAAAAATACATTGTGTTTCTAGTTGTACTTTGAGCGCTGAATTCAAACCTGTTTTTAGTTTTTTTCTGTCAGGGATAGTTTATGAGTAATCACAATTTTATTTTTTCTTTATGTTTCTGATATAGTGCAGGACACATTAGCTGAAATTCAAAAAACAAATTAGCTTTTTTATGATGTTATTAAGTTCATCACATTAAGGGGGGTTGGGATCTAACATATAACACAGTACTCTTAGTGTATTCACTCTGTAGCATTTATTTCACATGAGCAATTACAGAAAATTGACAAAAAATGAGCCACCATATAATAATGCACATCACTTTTTATCTTGTATTAAGAATCTTTCTTCTCTCGAATGATATTCCAGCAATAATCTGCTAACATAGAAGGTACCCACTTCTCTTCATAATGCCTTTCTATAGTAGAAATGTCTTTGTGGAATCTTTTGCCATGTTCATCTGATACATCACTACAACTCTCTGTGAAGTAGTTCAGATGAGTCCATCATATGTATCTTCAGAGATATATTGCACCCCAGATCTTGATATGCTTTGATCATGTCATTCACCATTGCTTTGTAGTTGGTAGCTCTTCTTCCGAGGAAGTTTTCTGACACAATCTTGAAACACTCCCATGCTCTCTTTTCTTTGGCAGTTAAAAATGCTTCAGAATTTGCATCTTTCTGTAGCTCCTTGATTTGTGGGCCCATACATACACCTTCCTTTATTTTTGCAGCTGAAAGACGGGGAAATTTGTCAGCTAGATATGCAAATTCACTGCCTGTTGGATCCATGGCCTTTACAAATTGTTTCATTAAGCCAAGTTTGATGTGAAGCGGTGGAAGTAGTATATCTTTAGGAGCTACCAGACTTTCATGTTGCACATTCTTTTTGCCCACTTTCCACCTCCACTTAAGGCCATTTCTTTTACACGTAGTTAGAATTTCTGTCATGTCTATCCCACTTGCAAAGAAAACATGCATACTTCGTGTAGCCTTGTTGCATTCCCAATGTCATAGCAATTACTTTGAAATCTCCACATATTTTCCATTTGTATTCATTGTATTGTAATGAATTTAGCATCCTTCATAAGAATCTGTAATTTTCTTTAGTCAAGCTGGCATAAGCAACTGGAACAGAGGGCATTTTATTTCCATTGTGGATCAAAACACCCTTGAGACTTGTTTTTGATGCATCTATGAAAAGTCTCCACTCCTGTGAACTGTAGGTGAAGTTCAGCACCTTTATTAGTCCAGCAATGTCATTGTCACATTCGATCACTACTGCATGCAGCAACATACATATCTCTCTATAACATCCCTGTGTTTGCCATGAACTGTGAATATATACATATATATACACATTACACAAAAAGTATCCCTGACAATGAAATTCTGTTTCCAGATTTGAATTTCCCTTGATAAATTGGTTTAGAATCACACACTTTAATATCAGAAATAGAACCCTTGTCAAACAGTATAATTATTTAGTGAATTTATCTAATGGTATGCAAATCAATGAACAGTGGTATAACATGATAGAGGGCGTGACTAGAAGAAATAATTTGTAATAGTGGTCGTGTGATGTAATGCTGTGGATAAATTTAAAGAAAGCCATTATGTATGTATTGTTTTTTTAAAAGGTGTTAAATCATTTACTTATAACTTGTAAAACTGTTACTTTAATTACAGTTGTTTCAATAGCATTTTAAAGAATACACATAGTTTTTTAAAAAAATACTTTGCATGATATAGACATAAGTTGGAAAGTATCATGTTGTTACTATAGTGCCATTTACAAAAGTAGTAAAAAAATTAAGTTTGTATTGTTTTTTAAAATTGTTAAATCATTTATATATAACAGTTTGATTGTAACTTAACCTTTAAAACTCATTTTGTCAAAATGAAAACCAAAGCAAAACAGGCCATTGATAATTTACTACTTGTATGTTCCAAACTGAAAAATAATTTAAAATGAACATCCAAATTGGAGGTTAATTCCACAATTATTCCTATTATACATTATGCAAGTCCCGTCTGGAGTTTTGATTACATCTATAAATTGGAATTTTTTCTGAATTATTATTTATGCAAGTTATTTCAGTTGGAAAGAACTGTACCAGGTTACGCACTGCAGCATGAGGTGAATCGCATTTGGCTTTTTTCATCTTTATTGAAATGTACATTTCAATTTTATTATAAAATTAAATTTAAAAATGATAATACTATTACCTATCTATATCAAGAAAATATCAATCAAAGTAAAAATCAAAGATTTAAACATCTATAACACTATAAATTGACTAAAATCTTAAATACATTTGGTGTATCAGAGTTATTGTTTGGAAATAACATTTGCGATTGGAAATTTGAATACACACTCTTAATAGATTCAGCGATATCTCAAGCTATAAACAAAGATCAAAACTCATTAAATCAAAGCACCTATCATCCTTGGTTTATCAACTTGTTACAGTTTCCTTCTTCTTAATCTTATATGCTACAACTAATGAATTTAAATATAAAACGTTTAATAATACAACTTCAATTAAATAAATACTCTCTTTTTATTAAAAATACCTATATTGACTTTACAAGTTTTCGATGCTTTCTTTGTGACTCAGTAAACTTCTCATTATATCACTTTATTTATAATCGTCAAGCACTTGACGAATTGCGAGACTATTATTGTATACTTTAAATATGTTATAATAAATCATTACTTGACTTTAAAATAAACCTAAATAATTTTAATAAAAAGAACATATACAAAATACATAATTATTTTGTTAAAATTCTTGAAAAAATTCCATATTAATAAATAATAATTAATCAATTAAAGTCCTAAATGTTAAGACATTCCTACTTGTTGTATAATAATTATGATTACCATGAATTTATGATAATTTTTCTTAATATAGAAACATCAGTTTACTTATATGTATGCTACTGATATTTACAGTAGTAGTTATATATTTATTTTTTGTATATTAAAAGTCTATGTTGAGTATTACCCTTAATTATGTAATTTGCCCCTGTAACAGAGAAATTTTCTCTATTGGTAGATACTATTGTGTATGATTTATTATGTTATTTATAATAAAAGATATTACGATTATGATTTTTAATATTACACTTAAGATACGAGTTTAATATTTATATATTGATATATTATTATCAGAAAACTTGTTTATATACAGCCATAAATTATTTTAAACTTGTAACGTTTTTTTTTTCTCTAATTATAGAAAAATAACACTCAAATCTAAATTTTCTGGCTATAGTCAAAGGGAAAACATTTTTTAAAAAAAATGTTTGAGACAAAATTGTAATTTTGAGTTTAATCTGGATTAAAAAATGTGTTTTATTTAAAAAATTGAAAATATTACCATTTGATAAAGTGTATTTGACTTAATTATTAAAATTTTTAGGAGTTTTGATGAAAATTCACTTTCTTTCATTATAAAAGGGTATATAGGTGGTCTGTGGAACCTTGTATAACCATTATTTTTATAATTGAATCAAATTATCAATCAACCTCTTCATATAAAAAAGTAGAAATTGAAAATTTCCAAAATTGTTGTGTGAACTACTAATGATTTTATTCTAATAATGTTGTTTGTTTTTGAATCTTTAACATTATTTTGAATCTAAATTATCAGCTGCATAGAATTTGACTTTCAAAATAGATAAGTAAGCACTGTTACATATCTTGAATATATGATGATCAAACGTGTGACAGTTGAATTTCATTACTTCAACACAACAAAAAAAAATTTACCAAATTTTTACATACATTTTTTTCAGCTGTTTTGTGGAACTGAATATTGTTTATTTATTTGTTAATTTAAAAATTGTGTATCATTTTTATTATTAAAAAAAATGTACTTTTGCTTTAGATATTTGTTTTTTACCGACTGGGGTCACCATGCTTTCATAGCAAGAGTTGGTTTGGATGGAAAAAACTTCTCAAGAATAGTGTTGTATGACAATAAACTTGTATGGCCAAACGCGCTAACTATTGATTACTTCAGTGATAAAATATTCTGGGCTGATGCACATCTTGATCACATTGAGTAAGAATTTTTACTGTTAATAATTTGTTCAATAAATAAATCTTATATAAAATTAATTTAGAAATTTAAAGCATAATATAGATAATTATTGCCTTTTTTTTAATCCTGTGTAACAATGTAATTTTTATCAACAGATATGCAGATTTTGATGGTAAAAACAGACACATCATCTTATCCGGTACATCTGTTCCACACGTTTTTGCAATGACACTCTTTGATGATTGGATATATTGGACAGATTGGAATCTGAAAAGAATTTTTAGAGCTCATAAATATAAAGGAAATAATCTAGAGGTTTTGCGAAATACTTCCCATAGTCCTTATGATATCCATATTTATCATCATCTTAGACAGTTACCATGTGAGTAGTAATACAGATAAACGTAACTAAAACTTAATGTTCATTAATAATAAAGCAGAGTAACATTTTTCTGTATTTTATAAATAACTTGGCATTAATAATATAAATCAAACCATATTGTTTTTATATGTTGAATAGAATATATATTTAATTCTTCTTAAATAAAAAATAATAATGAACACAGTTGTACTGTACTGTACATAATATACTTAAGTTGAAAATAATACCAGACTGATAAACTGGAATTTCAGACATTCATAATTCTTATATAATGTACAATAAACAATTTCCTTAAATAACATTACTATAAAATATTTAAAAAAAGTGATACTTCTGGGAAAAACCCAGAAGTATCACTTTTTTAAAATATTTTATGGTAATGCATTCCTGATGTCTGTTTTGACAACAGATACAAATAAGTCAGTTGAATTTGATTAATTTTGTTGGAAATTTAATTAAGTTTTTTATTTATTAAACAACTAACTAACTATTGATTACTAACTAAACTAAAGAATAAGTTTAAAATTTGTTTTGATCCTAGATGTTTAGTCCATATCAGTTAGCTAATTATCATATTTTTTGTCTTATAAGATGCACATTTTTGTGCCTAAAATTAATCTGAAATTAGGATTTGCCCTATAAGTTGAATATGTCTTATACCATGAAGAATACTTTTTATCCAAAAAGCAGTATGAAAAGTGTGATTTACAACAGCATGTTTAGAACAGCCAATACAACAGCATGTTTTAGAAGATGAAAAATGAATATGAATAAAGGATATGGATTATTTGATTCTGGAGTTTTAATATAGTATATTATATGATATTTTATAACAATAACTGAAATGAATTATATGAATAACTATGTAATATCTGATTAACACAAACTAATGCATTATAACTATGTTATGACTATTGAATCTAGTAATGTGTATCTAAGTACTTAAAGTTGCATTAATAACATTGGAAAATTAATAAAATATATACAGTTTCTAATTAATTATTTTCATTTCTTCTAGATGATAACCCATGCAAGAATAATAATGGAGGTTGTAGTCATTTATGTCTAATTTCACCTGGTGGAAAAACCTATAGTTGCAGTTGTCCAAACAATTTTGTTCTTCTTTCGGATAATCGCACTTGTATAGCCAATTGCACTAAACGTCAGCATCGTTGCAGTGGCGATGACGACCGGTGCATACCTATGTTTTGGAAATGTGATGGAAATAAGGATTGTCAAGATGGTTCAGATGAAATGGATTGCCGTAATTAATTTTTATACATATTAATAATTTTGAAAAAATTAAATAGAATTTGTATGGAAACTTTTGTTTTTTATTTAGCACCATTTACATGCAAAGTGGGACAGTTTCAATGTGCCGACAACAAAACTTGCATTTCTCGTGTCCGAGTCTGTGATGGAAAGAATGACTGCCAAGACAATTCTGATGAAAAATATTGCGGTAACTAATTATAAAATATTTTCCAAGCTTGTTTTATTACTAAGAAACTTTTTAATGTATCAAATAACTATGAAATTATTGTTAACATCTATGTTTCTCTGTCTAATATATTTTACAAATACTGTAATTTTACTATTCATGGCAGCCTTCTTAAATTTTGTGTTTAGTGCTTCCAAGTTTCCTGCATCAGTGTTATAGCTGTTAACTTAAACACAAGTTTCTGAACTAACTTTTAACAAAGCCACTTTAAGCACTTTTGCTGGACAATATATTCACTATTAAATAATGCAATAAATTGCTCACAGAGCATTGATTAATTTATGGAAATATTAAGTAAATATATACAATTGTTACATTAAATGATTTGTTGATACTTTAAAATCTAATTTTATCATAAGAGAGAAATAAAATGAAGGCAATTTAAATTAGTATACTTTTGTATTATCAGATTTACATTGTGGTGAAAATAGCTTTAAATGCAAACGTTCTGGAAGATGTGTACCCAATACATGGCATTGCGATGGTGATAATGTTTGTGCCGACGGATCCGACGAAGATCCAGAAATTGTGCCGTAAGTATTCTAAATAATTCTTTGATTACATGATGATGATAAAATTACATTTAATTTATGTTGATTTTTTCAAGATAAACAAAAATGTGATCCAGAAACACAATTCAAGTGCCAAAATGGAAAATGTATCCCAAAACTTTGGTTCTGTGATTTTGATGATGACTGTGGTGATAATTCAGATGAACCTTCACACAGATGTAGTAAGTTATTCTGCATTTTTATTATTTTATTAATACATAAAACAGTGTTTTGTATAAAGGTATTTAAATTATATGTTCAACTTTGTATATTTAACGTTTTACTTAAATTTCTAACAGGAAACAGAAACTGTACTACAGGATGGAAGAAATGTCCGACAGTCGGTAACTATCGATGCATACCCTCTTGGTTATTCTGTGACGGCAAAAACGATTGTCGTGATAACTCAGACGAAACGACTCCAGAGCACTGTCCAAAATGCCACGAATCCGGAAATTTCCGCTGTAAAAATAACCGCTGCATTCCTTTAAGGTGGCGGTGTGATTTTGAAGATGACTGTAGGGATAACTCTGATGAAGAAAAAGAAAGTTGCAGTATGTACATTTTCAGTAAATAACGATTTTACTAAATTGAAAATAATGAATATTTTATTTAATGATTTGAGTTTGATTATTAATGTAGATTAAATAGAGTTTAATTATGTAATAGATAATTTAAATAACTTAAGAAATACATTATCATAATTGCGCTGATGAAATGATAATTTTGTATTTAGGGAACCAAATGAGTAAAGCAGAACTTCAGGATTTTTTTATAAGTATTGTGGTCTATCTCATTATGCAGCTTCTCTATTTAAGACCTTATCAAATCCTTGATAGACATGTTAAAAGCCACTTGTTCTGCTCATAGAGAAGAAAAAAATAAAAAATTTAATTATTAAGCTTTGATTTAAGAATTTATATTTGAATTTTTGAAGTACATGAAGCATGTTGTATTTTTATCATTGTCATCAGAAAGCATAAGGAATTTAAAATATATCTAAAGATTAATGTAGTTCAGTTCAGTTCATTCATCATTCATCATTCTTATACCAAGGAATAAATTATAAAATACACAGATTCATCATTTTATGTTTAAAGAGTCAGTTAGTCATTACAAATGGAAGCTCAGTTTTTACCAAAAGGAGCTAATAATATACAGTAGATTTTCCATCAAGATTCACTCAACTGATGTTCTGAGTTATCCAAGATAGCTCGTGTGTAAGAGTAAAAAATAACAAGAGAATGTAGCATCGTATTTGAAAAAAAGTTCTAGAAGTTTTAAAAAAAATTCATTCTGATGATTTCTCAAATATAAATTTTATAAAATGATTAAAGAAACTTCAATTGCATTTGTAGGTTTACATTTGTTTTGATAAATAAAATTTAAAGGAAATACAAATTAAATAATATAAATTAATTAAATAAAATACTTTTAAAGTATTTTATTGTATTTAATTTAAATTTTATTTTAAATACTTTAAAAGTATTTTATTGTATTTAAATTAACATATTTACATTCAGTTAGTGAGTTATAAACTTATTCTATTTTAAGATTAGTCATATATGGTAATGTGTCAAAATTCAGTTTATTTAATAATTTACTAAACATTCCATATTATCTGAGATTCTGTTGGTACAGTAGAATCCCAATTATCCAAGATAATTGGATTCTACTGTACTTATATTTTAAATGCATTTTGGCCATATTATTTTGGTGGGTGGCCTGTATGCTTATATCTTTTAATTTAATTGGTCTGGAAGGAAGATCTGTCGGAGATTCATTTAGTGTAGTTGGTAATTCATCTTCATAGCAAGAGAAGTTGTAGGTTCAANAGTATTTTATTGTATTTAAATTAACATTTTTACATTCAGTTAGTGAGTTATAAACTTATTCTATTTTAAGATTAGTCATATATGGTAATGTGTCTAAATTCAGTTTATTTAATAATTTACTAAACATTCCATATTATCTGAGATTCTGTTGATACAGTAGAATCCCAATTATCCAAGATAATTGGGATTCTACTGTACTTATATTTTAAATGCATTTTGGCCATATTATTTTGCATTATGTTTTGGTGGGTGGCCTGTATGCTTATATCTTTTAATTTAATTGGTCTGGAAGGAAGATCAGTCGGAGATTCATTTAGTGTAGTTGGTAATTCATCTTCATAGCAAGAGAAGTTGTAGGTTCAAGTCTTGCTTTGGGTCCCTTCATAATTACAATATATTCCAAATTATTAAATAAATCAGTATATTAGCAATGGAATTATTATATTACGTATGTTGTGAAGCTATAATATCTATTTACGTAATTTTGCTTATTATAACAACATTCAATCAATTATTACTACTAACAAGAAATTTTCTTCCATAAATATTTAATTAAAAACAAGATGATAAAACTATTATATTAGAATCAAATTCATTTGTCAATGCACTGCAAAGCTATAAAATTTAGCATTATGTTTATGTTAAAAACCTTTAATATAGCTTTGTATAAATAATTTTGTATACTTATTACTTATAAATTTATTTATTTTAGCCAATCTCTATCGTGATTGTTCTGAAAGTGAGTTTCAGTGCAAAAATAAGAAATGTATACCAATGAAGTGGCGATGCGATCATGACGATGACTGCGAAGATGGAAGCGACGAACAAAATTGCAAAGATTTTACTTGTAAAGTAAGAGACTGTCTGATTCAATCAAAACCTTAAAGTTTTTAGACATTAAATAATTTAGACACTTATTTATAAATAATTCTTTTTACAGCCAGACCAGTTTAAATGCTTAAGTGGGCATTGTATTAATGCAAAATTGAGATGTGATGGGAACAAGGATTGTAAAGATACTTCGGACTAGCTCCATTGTCCGACACGTTTTCCAAATGGCAGATATTGCCAAGAAAATATGTTTCAATGCAATAACACAGTAAGAATTTTTGCTTTTATATACGTAAATATATTTAATTTATATATTTAAAGCAGAACTTGCTAAGATATTAATTTTTTGTAGATCTGTTTACTTCATGATTTTGTTTGTGACGGAGATGACGACTGTGGAGACAACTCTGATGAACATGATAGTGTCTGTTGTAAGTTTATTTTCATAATTATTGTAAATACTTTATTCTTGTAGTTTTAATGTATTAATAATTTTATTTTAGCCAATTTCTCCTGCGACACTTCTCGTAAATTCCAGTGAAAAATCATCGCTGCATTCCAAAATGGCAAACCTGCAATGGTCGCAATGACTGTGGAGATGGAAGCGACGAAAATGACCATTCCATGTGCTACAGACCTCCTCCCTCCTGCAAAAAAGGACAATTTAAGTGCGCTAACGGAAAATGTATTGAACTGACAAAAGTCTGCGATCACGAAGACGACTGCGGAGATCTTTCGGACGAAGTGGGATGCAGTAAGTAAAGCTTTATAAATTTTAATTAATTTGCTTTGAGGACATATATTTAAAAGAGCTTAAATTATTTTAGATGTTAGTAAAGGTGGATGTCAACATAATTGCACATCTCTAAAAGATAACGGATATATTTGTATCTGTGATAAAGGATACAAAGTAAATAGCAAGGATACTAAATTATGTGATGGTAAGTAGGTGTTATATTAAGACACAAAAGATTTTTGTGTATATATGTATAATAACTTTTTTATTTTGCAATTTTCAGATATAAACGAATGTGCCAATTTTGGAAATGACTGTTCGCAAATATGTACAAACACCAAAGACTCATATACATGTTCTTGCCACGAGAGTTTCCAACAATATGGAAAACACTGTGCCGCCACAGCAGGTAGGTCTATTTATTTATTCTTATTCAAATAATTTGAATTGAAAGATTAACGGAATAAGAAAATGAGTGTAATGCTATTTTCACACTGATACTGATGCTCATCAGTACTAATTATGACAAATAATTGTTATCAAATTGGATTATACAATATGTCAAATTGTTAAAGATACTACCTCATTTTCACACTGTACTGATATTGTTGGAATAGGCATGTTTATACTCTGCATGTACAAAAAATATAAATAGAAGAATTTGATTATACAGTAGAGTCCTGCTATCCGAACACTGCTAATTCAAACGTCCACCTAATCCGAACACGTTTCAGTTGGTGGAGAGAAAATTTTCTCTAACAAGAGGTCCACTTAGGGCTGTTTCACTTTCTCTTTCTCTTTCCTGATTGAACCATGTGAATAAGGCTTCATCAAATTTGTGAAATGTTGAGGGCCTTGCTGTTTATAGATTTTCAACTGATTTTTCTGAAGTAAAGGCATAAAACTGCTTGATCTTTGCGCAGTTTTTTCCAGTCAGTTATTGTGGCCTTGCCCACTCCAAACTCTAATGCCAATTTCATCCTTGTCCAGCCTTTTCAAAATTTTGTGATCATTATAAACCAAACTAAAATAATGAAGAGCAAAGAGTACATTCAACATTCAACATTCACAATTAAGTGTGCTAACTCACACAGTAGCATCAATCAACTGATTGGAATCCTGGACTGTGTATTAAAAACGTTTTTTACAGTTAAAATAATTTTAAGGTAAACAATGAAGACAGGTTGTCATTACAATTAATAAACTTGTTTTTGTTAACTGTTTTTGATCTATTGAGTACAAGTCAGATGAATTATATAGATCCACACCATCAATGATGTCACTGACATCATTGATGGTGTGGATCTATATAATTCAGACCGGTTTTACTGCTTGCTTCTGCATTATATCAGTTATTCGGCTAATCTGAACAGGCTTGGTCCCAATTAGTTCGGAGTAGCGGAACTCTACTGTAATATAGAATTTGTTAGATCTACTTCATCAATAATTACAATCATATATGTTCGATCTCAATAGTCTTTTTCAGTTAAGATCATTTTTGTACTGATAAATTCAATTTTGCTTGAATTTGCAATTTTTTTACTCAGTCTACAAGCTCACATTATTACAGAATGTTGAGCCTTTCTCAACTTTCAATAATGATAAATGAATGTCAATAGTCACACATTGCATTATATAAATAAAAACTTTCAATAACTAATAGCAACAAAAAATATAGCTTTTTGGCACACATGAAAGTAGCATAAATTGATAATGATAGGTATAAAAAATGTCGGTATCTGCAAATGATGATGATCGGTTGTTACTAAATAAATCCATTATTTGTTGTTAATAAGTGACTAAATATTAGTGTAGAAGTACATTGATTTCCACTTCAAGCTTGATCTTTGAAACAGACTGCTCTTCTGCCTTTCAACTACTTTGTGAAAGAGTGATCCACAATAATAAGTGTAGTTATGTACAAGTACAAATAATAAAATCCAGAATTATAGCTGTATGCTTTATTACTCATTAGCAGCAAATAAAAATTAGTTTTACTACAGAACAATAATGAATTTACAACAATGCGTGAAGTGAGTTTAAATGTTAGAAATTATTTGTAAAGAGGATTTCTAATTAAATTGAATACAAAACTCTTTTGTAAATTTATAAAGAATGAGGTGCAAAACATATAAAGAATTCTGTTTGGATTCACAAATTCCACTGACAAATTTAGCAGATGGAAACTATATTTGAGTCTGCATTGCAATTTTTTTTATAAATACAGATAAACAATTTTGAGAATGCAAAACTGCAGCCCTAGGATTAAGTCAAATATATAACTAACTTAGAACTCATAAAAAGTTTATCATCATTTATTCACTTACCATTAAACATTAAATTTTTTAAAATTTGATTCACAGATGGTGAATTACTATTTACTTATTTTCAGAGTTTAATATTCATAACAGGCATTCAGTACTTTGGTACTAGTTATAGTTATAGTTATTTTTAAATTAATGTAATTAAGGTGAGAATAACAACTACAGATCTTTATTAAAATAGATTTTATTTATTATGTCATCATCAAATACTTTTTATTTGAACAAAGAATGGAAGCATGTATGATTACATTTTCATTCTTTGAGATGCAGGGATAAACTTATTAAAATAAAATTTTATTAACTACATCCTTCTGTCAGATTCCAACTTACTCGTATTGTATGCCGTCGGTCCCGAAATTCGTTCGTTGGATCCCCGCCTGCAGATTCAGTCTTCTGTCATCAACAACCAGACCAGGATTCAGGCATTTGACTTTGATCCAGTGAGAGGTAGGTTTTTTAAAGTTTTTAACTATCTTATTTCATCAGGTTCAATTTATTAAAATATTTAACATGTCTGTTGCAGACATCGTCTACTGGGCAGATTCATTTGACAAAACAATAAAACGTTCTTTCCTTCTCGACACGAAACACCAAGGAACAGGTTACGCCCAGAATCTGGAACTGAAGGGAATTACCAAACCGACGGCCATTGCCATAGACTGGGTGGGAAGGTAAATATGTTATTTTTAATTATTTTAGTATTAATTAGTGTACGAAAAATTTTTTTGTCATATATCATAAATGTGTAATATTTCAGATTAGTATTAAAAAATTGTTTTGCTCATTTTCTCATTGTATATGATGATAATCATATATATCAACCAAACTTGTCATTTTATTTTTAAATGCAAAATCATTGAAACAAATAAAATACAATGTTTTAGTTGGAGAAATCTGCTTTACATTTTCCTGCAGTTTTCAAAATATATAGCAACGACAACATGCAACCCATAGATTGCAGAAGCCAATATATAGTAATAATAATATACAAATACATTAAGATATATTTATAGTTTGAACAAGATAGTTTTTTTAAATAAGACTTTGTATTGGATGGATATCAATCTCTGCGGAAACAAACCTCAGGAAAGAATATTTGTCGGTCACCTGGACGGACGTTACAACACAGTCGTCTCCACCGGACTGGAAAATCCCACGTCGTTGGCTCTGGATCCAGAATTGGGGTAAGTTAAGGAATCAAGCAAGTGTTTTAAAACAAAACAAAAATTGTAAGGTGATCTTGTTATAACTTTCTCAATTCCTATAGCAAATGATATGTTGCATTAATCTATGCAAACAGGATTCTGAAAAGGAAGATTTAACAAGTCTCTTTCTTCTTTCAATTTAATTCTATAAAAGCTCTTCCTATGAACTTGTGAATCCAATGCAGACTTCTGTTATATGGTTATTTTCAGTTCTTTTTTTTTTAATATAAAATTCAATTGTTAAATACACTGGGTTCCAAAATTAAAACTTGATTTACACCAGGGGTGTCCAACCCACAGCCTGTGGGCCACATGTGGCCCAGTAAATGTGTAAACAAAACTGACAAATGTTTTAATTTTTTTATTATTTATTTATATCAATGGCATAAACTCAAAAAAGTTTCACAAAGCCATAAACCATTTATTCATATTTTATTTTTGAGTTGAAAGGAAATATTTTCAAATACTTGGAGATAAGTGAATGAGGAAGAATTACTAAATAAAGGTGGAGTTGTGACTCAAAGGATTATAGACCCAAATTTGGGGAAAAGAGAGAAAGGTTAAATAGACCTTCTGTTATGCAAATATTGACCCTTAATTTTCCAACCTTTTTCACTTTTTTATTTTTGTCCTTTCTCTCGTTTCCCCACAACTCCAGTTTTATTTAGTATTCCTTCCAGCGTTGCAAGATTTGGCACTATGGCTACATATTATTTATAAATATATTAGTTGAATAAAAATGCACTTTAATTAAAATTAAAAAGTGACGAAACACCATTTTAGAAATCCAAATAAATTTTCATTAAAAGGGAGAATTTATTTCTAAGTAAAAATTGAAAGTGTTTGTAGAAAATAAGTTTTAAAACTTATTATCATAATCTAGACATGTTAATCCTTAACGTGTCTAGATTAAGGACCACAAGTATATATAATATATACTTGTGGCTCAGAGAAACAAAAAGGTTGGACACCCCTGGTTTACACTGTTGTACAAATGAATGAAAATATTGTTTGCATCATACTAAGTTAGAACCTTTTAACCAATCACTAGAGATGTGATTGGTCAAACAAACTGAAGTTTGGCAAAAGTTGAGATATTCTCAACTCTTAATGAACCTAGCTTAAAGCTCGGGCTATAATTTTAGATATTTTATCAAAAAACTGAATAAAATATAAAAATATTCATACTGTATGTGCAAAATAAGTTGTCTATATATTCCTGGCTGACATGATGGGTATTTGTCATTCTTGGAGAGTGCAAAAAGGTTTTTATTGCATATTATTGCTTACCCTATGCCTCACACAATTGTACCCAACTCGAACCAATAGAGAGTTGCAATGGTTTTGAGATCTGGCCAAGGTTGCCCAGGAACATGACGTCCAGAGAAGGCCAATATTAATATTTAGCTTTAATCATAAGGCATCATACCAGAACGTATACCACCAAGAACAGTCTTTAGAGCTCTTGGCCAAGTCAAGACAAACCATACACTGTGGGCTATACAATGTATGCCTTTATGTCAGGAAACCTGTGGTTTGTATACATCTTATCTTCTTTCATAGGAGACAGTATCATTTGTGGAGTCAAGACAATCAGGGTCATATTCTCATTGTCATTTCATCTGGAGAGAACAGGGAACCCGTTATCTCCCTTCCAACATTAGAAAATGAGACATCTTAGGAGGTGGCTTGTTATTTGTGTGGAAAGGCATTCACACTCCATGTGTTTGAGATACGAACATTGAATGCTCTACAGTACAGAAATGATNTGATACCGTTATGAAAGTAATAGCTTTGTATGTTTTAACATGTGTCCATTACACTTTCAATATGCCACGCGCTGAAGTGTTGGCCTAAAAATAGTTACAGCCTGGATTCTAGGAGCCCTAAAACGTATATAACCACGATGGCCAATTGGCTCGTGAGCTGCACATGCCACTTCTACACCCTTATTGCGATTCGTGACTCCATATAGTTACACAATTTCTTTTTACGTGCGACTTACATACATAGTATTGTATAACTATAGTGGAGCTGTAATCGAAGTCTAAAAGAGCTGTAGTTTGGCCACCGTGGACATATAATAAACTTTTATCAGATTCGTAAACGACGAGAGTAAAGACAAAATTTGTGTACATTACCGGAAACGGTTCCGAAATACTATTGATACTTTCGTCTCTCGTATTGGCGCTGCTTGTCTCGGAGAAAAGAAACAAAAGATTAGTGACCGGAATATAATTATAATGTTTTCGTAGATATTTTCAAGCTTTGCAAAGTTTTTTGTAAGCTTAAAATTATCGTTACGCTACTTATTATTCTAGAAATGAAAATTTAAATTTGTCGATTATTTTCCTCATATTTAGAAAGTTTTTACTACTGTATTATCTACTTGAGTTAAAACTAACATCTATAGAGTTATCGATGTAAAATTGTAATGTATTCCATTTACCATGCGGATTGTTTGGTATCTGTACGAAAAACTGCTTTAGTAGCGAATAAGCACTTTCATTTTGTTATCGGTTAACATAATATCTTGTTATATGCATTAAATATGTGTTGCCATGGATTCAATGTGTGACTGGATGCGGTTCAAGCTTCACGATGCAGCTTGTGCAAAACGTCAATTTGAAGTTTTTAAGTAAAGATAACATCACTGCATTATCACAAAAGTGAATAAAATTGTTAAAATTGTTACATCATGCTACATCAATGCCCATGCAACATAACAGACTGATCGACAATTAACTAATAAAAAATTGTATGTTATTCAGTAGAACTTCGTCTAATTTACCAATAAGCTGAAACTGGTGACAATTGACACTAGCACAAACAAACATCGTACGAACTTACTTCGGCCGATAGCATTAAATGCTACGTAATGGAGTAAGTACTGTACCGTATGTGTGGTGTTTGCTTGTCAAATATTCTAATCATATTAGGACTTGTCTATACTGATAAAAATTACCAAACGATAACATTAAGGAGCGTAAATAACACTACAACAAAACTACAATTAGTATATATTTTAGTTTTATTAATTCTAACATTAAGAAAGAAAGGCTTCTTACTTGGAATTTATCTTATTTTGGGAACGAGAAAACACTGGGCATAATGAAAACTTACACAGATATATCATCTGTGTCATTCTCTAAGGAGGTAAACCAATAAAATGGTTGAGGCAAAGTGTTTTATCGTCTTGAGAGCACGATAAAAAAGGNCATTGTCATTTCATCTGGAGAGAACAGGGAACCCGTTATCTCCCTTCCAACATTAGAAAATGAGACATCTTAGGAGGTGGCTTGTTATTTGTGTGGAAAGGCATTCACACTCCATGTGTTTGAGATACGAACATTGAATGCTCTACAGTACAGAAATGATGTCAGACTTTCTCAGGAAGTTGTCGTTCCATAATTTTAGTTGATTTTGATAAACATCTAGCCTTCTTAATAATGTCTGTTTATACTTCATATTTAGTTTAGATACATTAAACTTTGCTTGGGGTGCCAACATACACATCTTGTTACTGCTATATAGTCAGCATATATTAATCTTTACATAAAGAATGGGTTATAGTTTCTTTCTTTACACTTCTTGAGTTTCTTGTTATTTGTCACTAAACTTTCTGTAATGTTGCAGTACAAACAAATTGCACAATGTTAAATAAAATTTTTTTGCCAAACAATATAATTGTTGTGTTTCAGGCTGATGTTCTGGACTGAGAGCAGTACGCTGCCAAAGATAGAGAGTGCGTGGATAGACGGAAACAAGCGGAAGACTCTGGCAGACGAAAAACTGGGCCATCCCACGGGTCTGACGGTGGATTATGCCCAAAATCACAGAATCTACTGGTGTGACACAAAGCAGAATGTCATAGAGTCGATGAATGTGGATGGATCCGATCGCAAGATCGTGCTCGGAGGAGGTGGGTCGTATGCCCCAACTTTCTTTGTGGATTCTATCCAGGACAGAATTTAATAAATTTTCCATTTCAGATTTACATCATCCTTCTGGCCTGGACATTTTTGAGGATCACATGTACTGGATTGAGAAGGATTCCGGAGAAATATATCACCAGGACAAATTTGGAAGGGGTGTCAAAGTCCGCGCAAGATGGAGTTTGGAAGTAACACCCGCTGGCGTCAAGATATATCACCAGCAGAAATATAACATGTCGAGTGAGTTTGTATTCTGTCAGTATAAATACGTCATTGTGAAATAATTTTGCAACATAGGGATCTGCATACTTACATGTAGATGATATTTTTTAGGAATTGTCTAATTTATTTTCTCTCATATACAGTTACCAACAGATGTTCCACCACATCTTGCACTCATCTCTGCCTGTTGATTCCTCGAGGATACCAGTGTGCCTGTCCTGACGGCACTCTGTTCGAAGGAGGGAGCCTAGAATCCTGCAACGCAGGTATGTTTTTGCAAATTTTTTTTTACCTCTAGCATTACTCGTCATTGAAATGTTTACCCAACAGGATTTGAGAATCCCAAGCCCCAACCCGAGAGGTGTCTGTTCGAAAACGGAGGCTACTGCGAGTTGGCGGCGGGCAAAATAATCTGTAGATGTCCAGAAAATTTCGTGGGGGTACACTGCAGCGTGATGGTGCAGCAGGGTGCCATCAGCCTGGCCTCTCACAGTAGTAAGTATAGCGAGTATTACGATCCACTGTGAGGAATTTTACTTATTAAAATACTTTGCCATTGTCTTTCCAGATACTGCAGCCATCATCATCCCGATACTGGTCATATTGTTGATTTTGGTGACGGCCACGGGTCTTCTGTGTTTTTTCCGTCAGAAAAACTTGTAAATTATACTTCTGGTGTGATGTACGTTATTCTTACAATACATTTTCAACACTTAATTGTTCTTAAATTTCAGAAAATCAGGCAGCTTGGTCAATCACAATCAAAGCGTTTCCTTCCGCATCGGAACAAACGTGGAGCTACCCACTCCATCTTTACGAAACGGCACCCAAGATAACATCTATAAGGTATTTTCCCAAAAATACGCGTAGAGAAAACCGCGTAATTATTTAACTAACCTCTTCTCCAATATCCTCAAAGCAGGAACCACTGGATGCAGAATTCCACTTGGAAGACACCGAAAAACCTACCGATTTCAGCAATCCCATGTACGACGCCATCGATACGATGGGGGTGGAGCCCACCGACAAAGAGGTGGGACTGTACGAGGTTCCCGGAGAACTGATGGACAAAGACGCCTTCGGTTCCGTCTACAACGGAGGAAAGGCGGCCATCCTCACGCCCTCTGACGTGGTACACTGGTCCTCGC